GGCCGGTGCTGCTTTCAGTGACCGGGTGATTAAATTCCTGTTGTGCCGCTAAGGAGCTTTTCGTGGACGAGAAACAACGTTACGCCGACGGCCTGCAAGTGCGTCGGGAAGTGCTGGGCGATGCCCATGTCGACCGCAGCCTCAACGCGTTGACCGAATTCAACAGCGAGTTCCAGGAGATGATTACCCGTCATGCCTGGGGCGATATCTGGACCCGACCGGGCTTGCCCAGGCACACCCGCAGCCTGATCACCATCGCCATGCTGATCGGCATGAACCGCAGCGAAGAACTCAAGCTGCACCTGCGCGCCGCCGCCAGCAACGGCGTGACTCGCGCCGAGATCAAGGAGGTGCTGATGCAGAGCGCTATCTACTGCGGGATTCCGGCGGCGAATGCCACCTTTCACCTGGCCGAGTCGGTGTGGGATGAGCTGGGCGTTGAATCCCGCCAAGGTTGAAGTTCGCTCGCCACACGGGGTCAGTGGGAGTCCGCATCCCACACCCAATTCCACACGCCCGGCAGGTGTACGGTGTCATTCACGTCCTTGACCGTACGGGCCAGGGCGGCGCGTTCCAGTGCTGGGTGGTCGGTGTAGAAAGGCTCTGCGGCGGTTTTCATGCCGTTGATGCGGGCGCTGTCCAACAGGATCTGCAAGTACTCCTGCAGGTGCCGCGCGGTGTAGCGGTTGATGTCGTGGAAGGTCACCACCACCGGGATCACGCCGTCCACCGTGGGCAATTCGCCGAGGGCGATGCGCTCGCGCACCACCGACAGTTGCCGATACAGATTGGCGCGGCGGCGTGGGCTGGCATTGAAACCCCAGATCTTGCCGTCATTGGCGCTCAGGTCCGTGAGCAGTACCTGCATACCGTGGCGCTGATAGGCAGCAAAAGTGCGGCGGTCGTAGTTCCAGAACGGTGGGCGCACCAGGCGCGGCGGTGCGCCGGTGATGGCGGCAATATCGGCCGCACCCTGGGTGAGAGTGCGCTCCAGTTCGGCATCGTTGAGCCAGCGGTGATTGGTGTGGAAGGTGGTGGCGGTGTGAAACGCCAGCACATGCCCGCCGGCGTACTCGCGTTCCATGGTCTTGCGACCCCGTGAACTGCCGCCTGAGCGCGCGGATTCGGTCTGTAAAAAGAACACGGCCTTGATGCCCGGCAGCACCGGGTTGTGTGCCAGGTCGGCGATCACCGAGCGGGTCGGGTTGTTATAGCCCGAAGCACTGGGACCGTCATCGAAGGTCAACAGAAAGCGGATTGGCGCCTGGGCTTGCAGGCGTTGCTCGGTCTGGGGCGTCAAGGCGATTGGCGCGCTGATGCAGCCGCCGAGGCTCAGGGCCAGGGCCAGCACGGCAGCGGCGAAAGCATAGAGTTTCATGGTGGGCACGGGCTCGGCAAAGAGGCCGCTGCTGGGCGAATCAGCAGCGGCAGGCGCGCACCATACAGCAAGTGCCGCGCCGGTTTACAGCAGGCTGATCGGGTAACTGACGATCAACCGGTTTTCATCGAACTCGTTGTTGCTGTAGTCGCGACGCATGCTGGAATTGCGCCAGCGAACCGTCAGGTTTTTCGCCGCGCCGCTTTGCACCGTGTAACCCACTTCGCTTTCGCGACCCCATTCCTTGCCATCGGTGACGGTGCCGCTGTGCACATTGCTGCCGCTGATATAGCGGTTCATCAGGGTCAGGCCCGGCACGCCGAGGGCGGCGAAGTTGTAGTCGTGGCGCACTTGCCAGGATTTCTCCCGGGCGTTGTCGTAGCTTGAGTTGTAGCTGTCGTTGGCCAGGGTGCCGCCGCTGGTGCCGTTGACGCGCATCCATGCACTGTCGCCGCTGAGCTTTTGCAGGCCCACATAGAACGTGTTGCCGCCGTATTTGGCCGAGAGCAGGCCGGACCAGGTTTTATTGTCCAACTCGCCGGCGCGGGCGCTGCCGTCTTCTTTGCCATAGAAGAACCCGAGGTTGGCGCCCAAGGTCCAGTCGCCCACAGGCTGGCTGTGGATCAGGTTGACGAACTGTTGGCGGTAAATGTCCTTGAGCTGGGCGTTCCACAGGCCGATCTGGGTGCGCTTGTCGTTGAATGCGTATTCGGCGCCTTGGAAGTTGAAGCGGTCCGAGGTGAAGGCCGTTTTGCCCACCATCGACATGTCCGACAGACTGCTGTCGTCGCGCGGGCTGTTGGCGCGGAACTGGCCGCCATAGAGGGTCAGGCCGTCGATTTCCTTCGACGTGATCTGCCCGCCGCGCAAGGTTTGCGGTAGGGAGCGGCCATCGTCGGCGCGCAGGATCGGCAGCACCGGCATCCACTCGCCCACCTTCAGCTCGGTCTTGGACAGCCGTGCCTTGAACGCCACGCCCAAACGCCCGAAGTCATCGGCCGGGCGACCGTCGTGATCCAACGGCAACAGCTGCGTGCCGCCGGTGCCGCGTCCGCCGTCGAGTTTGAGCGAATACAGCCCCAGCACGTCCACGCCGAACCCCACCGTGCCCTGAGTGAAACCGGATTTGGCGTCGAGGATAAAACTCTGCGTCCATTCCTGGGCGCCGCCCTGGGTTTTGCTCGGGTTGGTGAAGTTACGGTTGAAGAAAAAATTACGCAGGTTGAGGTTGGCGCTGGCGTCTTCGAAAAAACCGTGGTCTTCGGCGACGGCAGGCAAGGCAAGACTGGCGACAGCGGTGGCCAGCAACAGCCGGCGCGGGTGGAAAGTGCTCATGGTATCGGACCTGTTGTTATTGGGGTTATGCAGGTGGCGGCCATGGTGCGCGGCGGTGCGGGGGCGGTTCAATCGGGGGAGGGCGGGTTGTGGGCGATGATCGAACGCAACTTGCCGGGCGCGCAGGCCCGGCAGGCTCAGCGTTTGGGCAGATCGATGTGGGTCCAGGGGAACGCCGGCAGGTAATGCTGGGCCGCGACGATCACGGCCACCATCGCCACCAGGAACACCGCTTGCCATGGGCTCCAGAACGCCCAATGCAGGCCGTTGAGCCACGGGTAGCCTTCGCTGAAGCGTTGGCTCATATGACCGATGCGTTTTTTGTGCAGCAGGTTGATCAGCACCATGCCGGCATAGGTGAACGCTCCGAGGATGCCGAGCATCAAGGCGCAGGCCACCAGCATGATCGCTTGCGGCACGCCGTGGCGGATCACCAGCCAATAGTCGTTGGGGTTGAGTCGCTTGGGGATCAAGCGCTGGCTCAGCCACAAGTCCAGCACTCTGTAGGTCGAACTCATCCCGGCCCAAAACTGCGTAACGCGAAAACCGATACCGGCCGGCACCAGTGCCATGAACATAAAGATCGACACCGACATCAAGTCCAGCTTGTCGGGCCTGGAGTGGGCGATGCTCAGGCCGATACCCAGGGCGAACACGGCCCACAACCGGATAAACACTTGGGTGTAGATCGGCCGTGGCACGAATTTGCGCCAGAAGAATAGGTCAGGCTGAGGCAGCCGCTCGATCAGTTGCGGATAACGCCAGGTCAGGGTCTCGGCCAGGTGCTGGCAGGCGTTCCATTCGTTTTCGCCGAAGGTGTCGATGATGCGTTTTTGTTGAGTGGTGGACATCGGCGTCAGCAATAAGCGCGCGGCCAGAGCGTCGGCGGAGTTGCGTCGGGTGTCCTGGGCTTTTTCTTGCAGATGAGTGAAGAAAACTCTCCTGCTCACAACGCGACACCAACTGGCGCCACATCCACGCCGGTTCCGGGTACACCCCTTTCTGATCGTCCCAACCAAATGTCTGGCACACCCGTTCGAACAGCGGCACGCTCCATTGGGTGTCATGCAGCAATTGCAGAACGATGCGTTGCCACTGTTGCTGCAAGTCGAATACCTGTAACCAGGCTTGGCTGTTGTACTGGGTCAATTGGCTGATGAACTCGCGCTCGGCCTGTTGCTCCAGCAGTTCTTGCAAGGTGCGGCGATAGTCCTGCAGCAGTTCGCCGGTCAGCGCCTCGTATTGCCAAGGGGTCATCGCTACCTGCTGCCACGGCGTCAGCCATTCCAGGTGCTGCGCGGCCCATTGGGCGATGGCGCTGCGTTCGCCGGGGGCATTGAAACAATGGCGCAACAGGCCGGCCTGGAACGCGTCGGCGCAACCCTGTTGCCGAGCCTGCGCCCAGCGTTCATCGAGGTTATGGGCATTGAGGCCGCAGATCAGCGCCTCGGCAGGGTCTGGCGCGGGGGCGTCGAACGGCGCCGGGCTGAGGGGCGCACGTCCATCAGTTCGGCCAGATCGCGGAGGTTGTCGGGAGCCGCCTCGGCCAGCGGTGTCTCGACTGCCACTGTCTCGGCGTTGTCCATGCGCCAGCGCGCTTCGCTCAGCGCTTCTTCATAGGCCTCGCGCAGGCGCTGGAAGCCGGCGGCGTCTTCATCCGGGCGGCAGCTTTTGAGCAGCCGCGCATAGCTGCGTTTGATGGTGCGCTCGTCGGCATCTTCCGGCAGCTGCAGTACGGTCCAACAATCCATGTGATCTTTCCTCAGCGCCAAAAGCCGTTATCGAGCTGCTCCAGTTGCCGGGTCAGTTCGCTGCGGGCTTCGCGGATGCGGCGTTCGTCCTGGGTGTCGAGCACCTGCTGGAACTGAGCGGCCCAATGCCCGAGTTGTTCGCGCAGCTCACCCAGGCTTTCCTGATAGAGCCGTTCAAGGCGCGCGGTCAGAACGGTGTTGACCTGCTGGTCACGCGGATGAATCTTCAGTAGCGCCAGGGCTTGCAGGCGTTGCTGGATTTCCTGCGGGCTGAGCACACCTGGGTTGTTTTCGATCACCAGGGAATGTTGCTCGCCGGTGAGCGGGATATTTACCTGGGCTTCCAGCAAGCCGTTATTGTCGTAGGTAAAGCGTACGTCCAGGGAGACCTCACCGGCCTTGCGCTTGGGCACGGCGATTTCCAGTTGGCCCAGTTCGATGTTGTCTTTCACCAAGCGGCTTTCGCCTTGATAGATCTTCAGCAGCACGCGGCTCTGGTCATCGTGCAGGGTGACCACACTTTTGACCCGGCTCACCGGCACGCTGCTGTTGCGTTCGATCAGGGGCAGGTAGTGGCCGCTTTCGATATGGCCGCCGTATTGGTTCGAGGTTTCGATGCCCAGGGTGTAGGGGCACACGTCGGTCAGCACCACTTCTTCCAGCGCGGCGGAACGCGCTTTGAGGGCGGCCTGGATTGCGGCGCCGTGGGCCACCACTTGGTCGGGGTCGAGGCTGATGGAGGGAAAACGCCCGAACAACCCGGCGGCGAGTTTGCGCACCAGCGGCATGCGCGTGGTGCCGCCCACCAGCAGAATTTCATCCAGGTCACTGACACGAATGCGCGCATCGCGCAGGGCCCGCTCGATTGGCGCGCGCAGGCGCTCCAACAGCGGCGTGTAGAGCTTGGCCAGCTCCGCTTGAGTGATGGTTTTGACCCACTGCTGGCCATCGACGCGCAGGGTGAAATCGGCGCTGTCATCTTGGCCCAATGCCTTGCGTACGCGCTCGGCCTCGCGGCGCAGGGTGTGCAGCACGCTGCTGGTGGGCGGAAAGCCTTGGGCGTTGCGCTGGCTGTCGACGAAATGCTCCAGCAGCAGCGTGTCGAAATCTTCGCCGCCCAAGAAATTGTCGCCGGCGCTGGCGCGCACTTCCATGACCCCCTCGAACAGCTCGATGATCGACACGTCAAACGTGCCGCCACCGAGATCGAACACCAGGAACGAGGTTTCTTTGTCGCGTTGATGCAGGCCGTAGGCGAGGGCGGCGGCGGTGGGTTCGTTGATCAGCTTTTCAACGTTGAGCCCGGCCAGCTCACCGGCAATGCGCGTGGCTTTGCGTTGGCCGTCACTGAAGTACGCGGGCACGCTGATCACGGCTTCGGTGACGGTGAGGCCGTAGGTGCGCTCGATGTCTTCTTTCAGGCTTTTGAGCACCAGTGCCGAGAGTTCTTCCGGGCGGAACGAACGGTCGCCCAGGCGCACTTCGGTGGCGCTGCCCATGTAGCGCTTGAACAGCGACGTAGTCAGGTGCGGGTGAGTGTGCAGGCGCTCCTTGGCGGCCTGACCGACCAGCACGCGCCCCTGATCATCCAGCCCGACTACGCTCGGGGTGAGCAATTGGCCAAGGGCATTGCTCACCAATTCGGCGGCATCACCGCGCCAGACCGCTGCGAGACTGTTGGTCGTCCCCAGGTCGATTCCTACGATCATTACGACAAGCTCCCTCTGTGGTCTGTAAGAATCTGTAACCAATTTTCCCGAAAGGCTGAACGCAAAGCAAGACGGTGGCCGCTGACCCGAGCGGGCTGGCGGTGTTTGTCGTCGCGAACGGGATGCTCAACCTTTCAACCTTACGTTTCACCACTGGGGTGTCTACTGTCAGGGTTGACAGTCGAACACGGACTTTTCAGGGCGTAGTTGGGGGTGGTCACAGTAGATGTTGAAGCACGCGAGGGAGGAAAACTCATGAGCTTCGGAAAAGATATAGGAGAGATCTTAACGTCCGGGCAGATACAGAGATAAACGCGCATAAAAAAACGCCTCCTGTCAGGGAGGCGTTTTTCTTGACGACGGCGTTATCAGAACGCCTTGAACGCCGGCGCTTCTTCTTTCAGCGGTTCATTCTTTGCAGTCTGCTCGTTCCAGCCACCGCCGAGGGCCTTGTACAGGTTGACCTCGCTGGTCAACTGCGCGAGGCGGTCGGTGATCAGCGATTGTTGCGCGCTGAACAGTTGGCGCTGTGCATCGAGGAACGTCAGGTTGCTGTCCACACCGATGCGGTAGCGACGCTCAGCCAGGCGGTAGTAATCCTGGTTGGCCTCAACGAAACCGCGTTGGGCTTCCAATTGCTGCTTGTAGGTCGCCCGCGCGGCAAGGCCGTCGGAGACTTCCTGGAAGCCGGTCTGAATCGCCTTCTCGTAGTTCGCCACGTTGATCTCTTTCTGGATCTTCGAGTAGTCCAGGCTGGCGCGCAGGCTGCCGGCGTTGAAGATCGGGATGTTGATCTGCGGCGCGAACGACCAGGTGCCCGAGCCGCCTTTGAACAAGCCGCCCAGGTTCGGGCTGGCGGTGCCGGCGCTGGCGGTCAGGCTGATGCTTGGGAAGAACGCCGCACGGGCTGCGCCGATATTGGCGTTGGCGGCCTTGAGGTTGTACTCGGCCTGCACAATGTCGGGGCGACGTTGCAGCAGGTCCGACGGCAAGCCGGCCGGTACTTCGCTGAGCAGGTCATCCGACAGCGGCTGGCTGGCCAGATTGGCCGGCAGGCCGGTGCCCAGCAGCAGGGTCAGGTTGTTTTCGTCCTGGGCCACCTGGCGGGTGTAGCGGGCCAGGGACACACGGGCGTTTTCCACGGAGGTGCGCGCCTGGCTGAGGTCGAGGGCCGAGGCCACGCCGACTTCGTTGCTACGCGAAGTCAGCTTGTAGCTCTGCTCGAACGCGGCGAGGGTGTCCTGGGTCAGCTTGAGCAGTTCCTTGTCGGCCTGCCAGGTCAGGTAGGCGTTGGCCACACTGGCCACCAGGCTGATCTGAGTGCTGCGCCGCGCCTCTTCGGTGGCGAAGTACTTTTGCAAGGCTTCTTCACTCAGGCTGCGCACGCGACCGAACAGGTCCAGCTCGTAGGAGCTGATCCCAAGACCGACCGAGTACTGGCTGGCGATCCTCGATTCGCCGGTCTGCGACAGGCGAGCCGGGGTGCGCGAGCGCTCACCGCTGCCCGTGGCCGAAACGGCCGGGAACAGGTCGGCGCGCTGGATGTTGTATTGCGCGGCGTAGGCATCGATGTTCAAGGCCGCGACACGCAGGTCGCGGTTGTTCACCAATGCGGTCTGGATCAGCTGTTGCAGGGCAGGGTCATGGAAAACTGCTTCCAGCCTTGCTCGGCAGCAGCCTGACCCGGCGCCTGGGCCGACGAATACGCCGGCCCCTGCGGGTACTGCGCTGCTACCGGCGCGTCGGGGCGCTGGTAGTCAGGGATCAGCGAGCAGCCACTGAGCACGAAGGCTGTGACGGCTAGGGAAAGTAGCGACTTGCTCATTGGCCAGCCTCGTTAGAAGTTTGCTTGGTTTCGGGTTCTTTGCGGTTGCCGATGGCCGACACGGTAGCGAAGAACAGCGGCACCCAGAAGATCGCCAGGACAGTGGCGGTGATCATGCCGCCAATGACGCCGGTACCGATGGCGTGCTGGCTGCCTGAACCGGCGCCCGAGGAGATCGCCAGGGGCAGTACGCCGAGGATGAACGCCATGGAGGTCATGATGATCGGCCGCAGACGCATGCGAGACGCTTCGATAGCCGACTCGACGATGCCTTTACCCTGTTCGTGAAGTTCTTTGGCGAACTCCACGATAAGGATGGCGTTTTTCGCCGCCAGACCCACCGTGACAACAGGCCCACCTGGAAGAACACGTCGTTGGACAGCCCGCGCATGCTGGTGGCGATCAACGCACCCACCACGCCCAGGGGCACTACCAACACCACCGCAATCGGGATCGACCAGCTCTCGTACAGTGCCGCAAGGCACAGGAACACCACCAGCAGCGACAGCGCATACAACGCCGGAGCCTGGGACCCGGACAAGCGCTCTTCATACGACAGACCCGTCCAGGCATAGCCCACGCCCGCCGGCAGTTGCTTGGCGATGCGTTCCACTTCGGCCATCGCTTCACCGGTGCTGTAACCCGGTGCCGGAGTGCCGAGGATTTCCATCGCGGCCACGCCGTTGTAACGCGAGAGCTTCGGCGAACCGTAGATCCACTTGCCGGTGGCGATGGCCGACAACGGCACCATCTTCCCGGAGTCGCTGCGTACGTACCACTTGTTCAGGTCTTCTGGAGACATGCGGCTGGCGGCTTCACCTTGCACGTACACTTTCTTCACGCGACCACGGTCGATGAAGTCGTTGACGTAGCTGCCACCCAGGGCAATCGCCAGGGTCTGGTTGATGCTGGACAGGGAGATGCCCTGGGCGCTGGCCTTCTCGTCGTCAACGGTGAGTTCGTATTGCGGCTCATCGTTCACGCCGTTGGGGCGCACACCGGCCAGGATTTTGCTCTGTGCCGCCATACCCAGGAACTGGTTGCGCGCGGCCATCAACTTGTCATGACCGACACCGCCCTGGTCTTGCAGGAACACGTCGAAACCGGTGGCGTTACCCAATTCCAGTACCGACGGCGGCACAATGGCGAACACCATGGCGTCCTGGAACGTCTGCATGAAGTAACCCTGGGCGCGCTTGGCGATCTCGAACACCGAGGTGGACGCATCACGCTCGTCCCACGGCTTGAGCATCACGAACGCCAGGCCGGAGCTTTGGCCGCGACCGGCGAAGTTGAAGCCGTTCACGGTAAACACCGATTTAACGCCTTTGCCTTCGCCCGGCTCACCTTCTTTATCGTTGAGCAGGAAGATCCGCATGTCGTCGATGACTTTCTGCGTACGTTCAGCGGTGGAACCGACCGGTGTCTGCACCTGGGCAAAGATCACGCCCTGGTCTTCGTCTGGCAGGAACGCCGCCGGGATGCGCATGAACAGCCAGATCATGCCGGCGAAGATCAGCAGGTACACCAGGAACGCAGGGATCTTGTGCTTGATCATGTTGCCCACGCCGCGCTCGTAGCTCACTACGCTACGGTCGAAGGTGCGGTTGAACCAGCCGAAGAAACCACGCTTGGGTTGGCCGTGCTTCTCGGGATCGATCGGCTTGAGCATGGTGGCGCACAGCGCCGGGGTGAAGATCAGGGCAACCAGTACCGACAGCGCCATGGCCGAAACGATGGTGATGGAGAACTGTTTGTAGATCACCCCGGTGGAACCACCGAAGAACGCCATCGGCAACAGTACCGCCGACAGTACCAGGGCAATACCTACCAGGGCGCCCTGGATCTGGGTCATGGATTTGACCGTCGCTTCTTTAGGCGACAGGTGTTCCTCGGCCATCACCCGCTCGACGTTTTCTACCACCACGATGGCGTCGTCCACCAGCAGGCCGATGGCCAGGATCATGCCGAACATGGTCAGGGTGTTGATGGTGAAACCGAACGCCGCCAGGATGCCGAACGTACCCAGCAATACCACCGGTACGGTCATGGTGGTGATGATGGTGGCGCGGAAGTTTTGCAGGAACAGGAACATCACCAGGAACACCAGCACGATCGCTTCGACCAGGGTGTGCACTACACCGGAGATCGATTCGGTCACTACTGGGGTGGTGTCATACGGCACCACCGCTTTCATGCCAGGCGGGAAGAACGGTTCCAGGGACGCCACGGTGGCGCGGATAGCCTTGGCGGTATCCAGGGCGTTGGCGCCGGATGCCAGTTTGATCGCCATACCGGAGGCCGGCTTGCCGTTGAACTGCGCGCTGATGCTGTAGGTCTGGCCACCCAGCTCGATGCGCGCGACGTCCTTGAGGCGAACCTGGGAGCCGTCGGTGTTGACCTTCATCAGGATGTTGCCGAACTGCTCGGCGGTTTGCAGGCGTGTCTTACCGATGATGGTGGCGTTCAGCTGGGTGCCGGGCAGGGCAGGCAAGCCGCCCAATTGGCCGGTGGCCACCTGTACGTTCTGTGCGGCGATGGCGGTGCTGACGTCGACCGGGGTCAACTGGTAGTTGTTCAGCTTGGCCGGGTCGAGCCAGATACGCATGGCGTACTGGGAACCGAACACCTGGAAGTCACCCACGCCGGCTGTCCGCGAGATCGGGTCCTGGATGTTGGACACGATGTAGTTGGACAGGTCGTCCTTGGTCATGCTGCCGTCTTCGGACACCAGACCGATCACCATCAGGAAGTTCTTCACCGACTTGGTCACGCGGATACCCTGTTGCTGCACTTCTTGCGGCAGCAGCGGGGTGGCCAGGTTCAGCTTGTTCTGCACCTGCACCTGGGCGATGTCGGGGTTCGTACCCTGGTTGAACGTTACGGTGATGGTCATGCTGCCGTCGGAGTTACTGTCCGAGGACACATACCGCAGGTTGTCGATACCGTTGAGCTGTTGCTCGATCACCTGCACCACGGTGTCCTGCACGGTTTGTGCGGACGCGCCTGGGTAGGTCACCTGGATATCGATGGCGGTCGGCGCGATGGCCGGGTATTGGTTGATGGGCAACTTCAGGATCGAGAGTGCCCCGACCAGCATGATCACCAGGGCAATCACCCAGGCGAAAATGGGACGGTCGATAAAAAATTTCGACATGGGTTACTCCCCTTTGCCAGCAGCGGCAGCAGGAGCA